TCTCCAACAGTGTGTGTTTCTCTCTGTCCCTACTGGGAGAAGGGAAGAGGTTAGCGACAACGCCCTCGCAACAGTTAAGGATCAAGAGCTTGAGGACCTGCCACTCGGCCATGTCTGGATCGGGGATGGACATCCAAGATACACAAGAGACTAAACCCTAAACCCTAAACCCCTAAAGTGTTGGCTTGCGGAGCTTGGTAGAGAGAGCCTTCCAGTCGATGTTCCATCGAACTGCTTCGGTTTGGCTGCGATCAGAACTGACCTGCTAAGAGGCTCAAGCCAAGATGTAGCAGCCCCCGTCCCTCCTGAGAGCGTCGAAGTCTACGTTCAGGTGTGGTGTCTACTCACTACCTGTATGTAGGTTTTTGCCCACTAGCTAGGCTGCTTAACCCCGCTTTGTGGCTAGGATCCGGGAAAACAATAATCGAAATACAGGTGCAACGTCCCGAGGGTCTAGGCCAGGTTCAAACAAAAGCCGTTTTCGTGCCTACAACCTCGTGGGACTGTTGCGGAGGCATTGAGCGAGCTGGTGATCCTGAATGCACTCCCATGACTTTACGGGCAGCTTTGCCTGGTTGTTATTCAGTTGGCCGCGGTGTGGGGGGTCAACAGATTGCGGGGTGCAGAATGTCATATTATGTTTTGTTACAGGCTACATGAGCGAGGGTTAGGGGCTGGTTGAACACGCGCTTCGGCTTTTGGGTTAGTTCACAGCTTTAACATGGAAAAAACCAGTAGTAACCCCAATGTTTGAGCCAAGTCGTAGCGTGTTTGTCGGTGTTGAGTGACTCCTGGAGTCAGGCCATTTTCAATGGCCGTTGCAGTCTGAATGTTACGCCCTAGGTTCATTCGCTCTTGTGGGCTCTTTGGTTGAGTTCTGTGTGCGTGTCTGCGGGCACCGGTCACGTCGGAGATTTAAGTTCAGAGGCTCAGTATAAAGCAATATGGTTGCAGCTTGGGGCTGCTATCCCGTTGCCGGCTCGAAACCCTAAACCCTAAACCTCGAGCTCCATCCCGTACCCAGTCCGCAGCCTTGCGCCCGGAGACCAGCAGAGGAGAGCAGCATTTGGTCCGAATATGTCGCGAACATCAACGCCACACACACAAACACACACACACACACACACACACACACACGAATACCCCCATGTCGAGTTTAGGGTTTAGGGTTTAGTATTAATTAGGGTTTAGGGTTTAGGGTTTTGCAATATATCTGGGTTTAGGGAGTTTAGGGTTTAGGGTGTATCCCACCATGACTATTGGACCCATTTTTGCATCGTCCAGGGCCTCCAAGCCTCCTAATTTGCCGAGGCCGAGTGCAAGTTCCACGACGACAGCCTTGTGTTCAAAGGCGCGGGCCGACCTATATAACTAGGGACTTTGAGATTGTAGAGTTTTGAGGCTTAAGCGTAAGGTTTGGAGATTTCCTTCGTGTTGATCGCGAGTTTAGGGAGGTTTCAGTGTAGGGTCCGAAATTTTTACCAATTCTATTTTGGGGGGTTCCTTACTATAATCACAGCATAATGGGCCCCAAAAACCCTATTCTAAGCATTCAGGCCCCTAAACCCTAAACCCTTACAGTACTCCTTTTAAGGGACCCCTTTAAAACAAACCATATAGTCTAATTCTTCAGGTCCATTTATTCGGGCGTACGGTTCAGGGTTAGGAACCTTCTGGGCAGACTCTTGGAGACCTAGCGGCGGGCGGAGGTCCGAGCTGCGGCGGCCGGTTCCGCCGGTTTCGCCTTCCCCACCCGAGCAACGTTTGTAAACCCTATGAATAAAAGACCCCCGAAAAGCTTTAAACTTTGAATCCCGATCTTCTAGACCCTAAACCCAATAAAACCCTAAACCCCTTAACCCCTTAACCCCTGGACCTTCAACCCTACTTCCCGTTTTTCAGGAGGAGGCAGCTGGATTGCCAACTTTGCACCAACGGTGGCTGCCGCACCGTCGGCTTCCATTTGGCCCTTTGATAGGTTTTCACCCTGAGTTTCCCCAGCTGAGGGTTCAAGGTTGAAGGTTTCGGGGTTAGGGTTAGATTGTTGAGGATTTAGTTTTAGGTTTGGGGATTATAGGATTCGGAGTCCCGGAGGGCTCATACATCACCGCAGTATAGAGTTTTGGGTGACTCTGTACCGCCCAGGCAGTGTAACCGGTGTTGAGTTAAATGCGTCTCACGGAGGAAGTGTTGGAGGGGAGGACGGCTTAGATGGTCTTTTCCGTCCTCCAGTCCCAGAATCCTAAGGGTCCATGTACCCATGTAGTATATCCTTAGACACTTATCAGTATACTTAAATCGGAGCTACATTAAGGCCAAGGTATATACTATGTGTACTCATTAGAGGAATCTTTCTCAAGCAGCCTCTTGAGCTTCACCCAGCTTAGAACGAGCCCTAAGTTCAGGCTCGCCCCGAAGTCTGGCGACGATATGTCCCGAATGCTCCACGCCCATCTATGCAAAACCCTGACCCAAACCTGAGCTCCCCCAACAGTTCTAGACGCAGCCCCCTAAACCCTAAACCCTCTACACCCTAAATCCCGAAACCACTAAACCCCCAAACCCCTAAACCCCTAAACCGCAAATCCCCAACCCCTACATTTCCGTGAACTTCCTTCCTCCAACCGGAAAACGCGCGAACCGAGGCTCCCTAGAGCCCCTTCCTGAACAGGGACCCAGAGGACCCAATGCACCTCATTTAAGGAATGTAGACCTTAAGAATTCTAGGGGCCCATAGAGGCCCTAAGATGGTGATGTTATGATGTAAGGTATTTTCCTCAAGTAAGGGGTTTAGGGTATAGGGGCCCTAATATTCTGATTTAAGGTATATTCCTTGGTTAAGGGGTACTGGGTTTTTGTGGATATCCAAGGCACTCTACGAGCGCTTCGGGGGGAAGGGCGGCACTGTGTATGACGCTGGTACGCAATATTCGGGGGTTTCTATTTTGGGGGGGGTCTCTTTAAAGTATCCTCAAGGGCAGAGGGCTGTGGGCACATTTCACCCTCACTGGCCACTGGCAGCCCCCTCGTGAGCGAAGCTGGGCCGGTAGTTGCAGTTGCTCGGGCAACGAAACAGCAGCTAATACAGAAGACGGAGCAGGTACCCAGCAGGAAAATCAGCAACGGTGCCTGGTTTGCTGGCCAGCATGCTCAAGGTCCCAAGGTAGGGGCAAGAGGCAGGCATGCCCCCAAGTGGAGTGGAGACACAGACTGACATGAGCTTTTGTTTAAACTCCTAATATCCGCCTGCCCTATATAACCTCCAGTTAAGCAATTTGGACTATGCACCTCATCCGCATTTGAGTTCAAATCTAAGGATTGTGCAGCGCTCGACCCGTAACCTGAACTAGACGCCACGCCTGTCACTCCAGCTAGCACTCCCGCTTGAGTGCAGGGTTCAGGCTTTGGGTTTAGGGCACTCCCGCTTCTTTGCAGAGACCCTTTGCAGGCCTGTGCAGACCAGTCAAGCCGTACCCTACATCTTACACTGCTCTACATCTGAAAATGCCGAACCTTACATTCCTCGCGTTTGTGTCGTGCAACCCTAAACCCTCAACCTTACTTTATACCCCTTATACAAGCCCTAAGCCCTACCCTAAGCCTGCAGCACTTACCCTAAGCTTCCAAACTCGGACAGCATCAATTTGCTAGGACGTTGTTGAAGTCGAGGCTGCCGTTTGCAAGAGTGCTCCCCGACCGTTGATTTGCACCTCCGGAACCTGTGAGCTCTATGGTAAATTCAGGGCAATGCAACGAACGCACTTTGGGCAGAGCATGAGAATATATGTGTGTATATATATATATAACTATTGCATGTCGAACTATGTTTGAGAAATATCTCCTTATAGTATGATTCTGGATCTGTGCATGTATTTTATTTTGGCGTGCTTTGTTGCCCCTTTTTGCTCCCTCCCTCCCCTCCTGCCGTCCCTCCCTCCCTCCCTCCCTCCCTCCCTCCCTCCGTCCCTCCCCCTCTTTCCGGGCCCTCGAAAGCTATGTGTACTGTATGTGTGCAACACACTTAGTGTGCAAGCCTGCGCGGCCAGCCTGTGTTTGGCCTGGCGAGATTACGAAGGCACCAATCGGACCTGGGCCGATGACGGCTCACTGGCCCGCTGGTGCTTGCGCACATCGATGTCTGGTACCCGCCTGCCGGTGAGAGCTTTGCATGTCCGGGAATCCTTGCCGGAGGCGGTTGACACATCGTCTGCTGGCTGCCTGACATCCTTTAACTGGGCGGTGTTAGCACATGATCTGCCGAAATTTGAGAACTTTCGTTTCTCTTTTGCAAATGCATCCCAACAATCACCATTGAATTTTCCGGACATGCATCCGGACATGCTACTGCTACAGGCGGTCAGTAAGCCTTGCGAGCTACTTGGCCTCCCTGTCTGAGATTTTGTTATCCGTGCCGTCGTCGTTCGCGTTTGGTTCCGTTGCCGGGGTTGCGAGTGCACCACCGCACCCTGCTTGGCATGTGCCGAGGATCCCTCGGCCGGCTGGGGTGGTCGGATGCTGGGGGCGAGCCTTGGATAGAAATAACGAACGGCTTCAGGGCCTCTAGAATATGGCGTCCATCAGGTTGGAAATTGAAATGGTATTGGGTCCAGGATATGTAGGGGACGGAAGTGTTTATTTAGGGTTCAGTGTCTAGTTTTTCGCTTTCTGATCTCCAGATTACGGAGGGCGTTGTTTGGGATTTGAATTTAAGGAATGTTGAGGTTCGAGGCTTGAAAAGTCATGGAATTGCCAAGGTTCTGGCACCCGTATAAACATGTTCTAGAAGAGCGCTCACTCAATTAATTTCTGACAATCCGCAGCCTGTCCATCGAATGCAAAGCCTCCGTCCCTGTGAGACCTTGCCTGTCAGCAACTGTAGTGTTCAATCCCTCAAAGCCTTCCTTGACGTTATAAACTTCAATCCTCAAACCTTACCCCACACACTTTGAACCCTCCAGAGGAAAAGCAGCAAACAAGTACATGCACCGTTTTGCTTGGAGGCGCCTGGCTGGGGTCCGAAAGTACATATCATGCGAGCCGAGCACGAAGACTTTCGAGGGCCTTGAGGCACGACCCCAAACCCAAGACCCTTCAACGTGTCTTTAGTTGGGGGAAGCGATTCTGAGCCCAACCCTCCAGTTCAGGACTTGGTGTTTGAACATCTGAACTGAATGGGTGCTATAAGGATTTTTGACCGGGATTTATAAGGCTTCTGTAAGGGTTCAGGGTTGATTTCGCGGATCAGGAACTTAGAGGTCAATCAACATTCAAGTTGTTTGAGATCTGCCTCTCTCGAAAGACCTGGAAGGCGGACACGTGTAGTTGAAAGGAAACGGGCTGTACGCTTAGCCTTAAGCTGTTTTTTATTATAGTGACTGAAAGTTGCCCAAACCACATCAAGCCAAAGGCAGACATGTGTAAGTCCCGGAGCACTACGCCCCCAACCCCATCCGGAGCATCTTACAGCCCGGGCCCCGAAAATCCTACAGCGCATCGGTGCACATCTCACGAATCCCGAAACAGCTATACAGGCTATACAGGCTCTCAGGCAATTACGGGGGCGTGGGCATTGAACCCTGAAGACTATAGGTCCCAACCTTAAGACCATAATGTAGAGGCCTTAATAATGAGAATAGGGTTTTGGGGCATGTTTTCCCGTATTTACAATGAGGAACCCCCCAGAATAGGTATATAATTATTAAGGCCCCTATATTGATTAATCTAACAGGCTGGAAATGCTGAGTCCGAAGGTCCATCACCTTAAACCCCACCTTCATGAAAAGACAGGAGCTCGCTTCCTTTGCAGCTGGCGACCTGGAGGTTGCCGGAGATAGAAAACACGGGCCCTTGTCCGGGGTCTACAGGCTCATATAAGAGGCCTACGTGTTTGGATAGTCTGGGTTTCATTTGGGTTTAGGTTGGTTTAGGGGCTTTAGGGAAGTGAAATCGGGTTTTGGAGTCTACTTGTTGTTTATCTAGTTTTCCCATGACATAAAGAGGTGCCCTTCCATACATGTGCATGCAAGGCTCTGCGCCTGAACCCCAAGTTCGGCCTTCGACCTGGAAGCAGCAACCAACATGAACAGCCTGTTCATGGCATGTAGTCTTCATGATCGTGTTCTTCTTCTGATTCACATTGCTTCTATTCTCGTTGCAATCCCTGATTTCCGAATCATCATGCATACCACGCACCTGGCATCTGGACCTCTCCATAAAACCGCTTCAAGGCTTATAAACACCCGAACAAAACCCTATGCTGGAAGCAAGTTGCCGAGTCCTGGAAGGTGGACCTCCGCTGCTGCGGCAGCGAGGTGCCGAGACTTCAAGCGCAGCTTTTTGTTAGGGATTTAGTGTCATATAGCAATTCAGGATTTAGGCTTCAGGGGTTCAGGTTTTAGAGTTTAGGAATTTAGGATGTAGGGGCTCAAGGTTTCGGGATTCGGATGTGGAGTTCCTGCCCAGGGCAGCTAGAAAGCCCCCCATATTGCGCGGCTAGCAGATTCAATGTGCCATCGCCACTATTGCTCCGGCTCCGGCCATTCTGCCCCTCAGCCGGAAGCCTCACCCTAACCAGCACCCCCTAAGCACCTTTTAATGGAAGCCTTAGGGTTCTTAAGAGTGGGGACTTGGGCCCTCAATCAGGGGTAGTTGGGGGGTGTTGGAAAGCTGGGTTGTGCAACTTCTCAACAACATTGTGTTTACTTTGGGCCGAGGTGCGGCAGGTTAGATGCATGAACTCGCACCCGTTTCATGGACAAGAACCAAGCATGTAAATGTAGAAATGTGTTCAACTTGTAGAGCCCTGGACCCTCAACCCTGCAAGCCCTAAACCTCATTCCTAATAACAGTTGAACCCTAAACCCCACCACAACCCTAGTTCCCCTAACCGCCCTGACCCTTAAACCTCTTCGCCAGCTCTTCGTTCCTGATGATACCGTGGATTTGGTCTTCACCTCACCGCCGTACTTCAACACGGCGCTCCGGCATAAGAACTTAGAGTTGAGTTGTAATATAGGGGCCTTAATCATTAGAAGGGGGTTTGGGTGGTATATGATACTATAACTATAGCAAGGCACCCCCGAGATCCTATTGTAATTGCTAAGGCCCCAACATTATAAGTTTAGGGTTTAGGGTCTAGGGTTTCTGATGTGGGGTGCAGGGGTGTCTTCATGGTCAGGGATTTAATCTGCGATGCTTTTAAATTCAGCTTTTTCGGATCATGAGGGTTTATCGCTTCGTGATTTAATTTCTAAGATTTAGGTTTTGTAGTGCAGGTTTGGGGTTGAGGGTTGTGGTATAAAGCCCCAAGAGGTTAAATCTAGAAGGCTTTAGTCGGAGGGTCTTCATGGGCTGTGCAGGATCCGGCTGTGGAGCTGAAGTGGATCTAAAGCTGACCTTACCCTAGGGCTCCAGGTACCTAAATAGTAGGTTACTAACCAAATCTTATGCGACCCAAGCCCCGAACCCTAAACCCCACACCTGAAAATCTAAACCCTAAACCCTAAGGCCTGAACCCTGTTTAAGTAACTGGAGTTCGAGGGTCCTAGGGTTATCCTGCAACTCGAAGCACTCAGCGTTGTTGAACGATATCCCTCCTAGTGCGCATCAGGACAGGCAATGCTGCACGGCTGACGTGACAGAGTAGGGCTTACTGCCCAGAGGCTCCTCATATACACCCTGACTCCTAAACCCTGAACCCTAGTATAGTAGTAGTATCTATGGAGGCTCTAGGATGTTCAGGGGAAAGCCCAGGCACCCTGCAGGCAAGTGCAGCAGCACTGACGTTGAATCCTAAACCCTCAACCCTAAACCCTGGCAAAAGCGCCTAAACAAAAAAAATAAAAGAACCCCCCCCCCTCAGCCCCATTCTAAGCATTCTAAGCACTTATAGTGAAACCCTAAACCCTACACCGGCCCTACACCCTAAACCTTAAACCCTAAATTACAAAGCTCCGGAAAGATGCTCGAAGCGCAGGAGCTCTACAGCGATGAGGCGACCCAGAGCCACGTGAAGTTTCCAACAGCCCAGGCCGGGGTCCGTGGGTTAGAGGGTTTAGGGTTTAGGGTTTAGGGTTTAAGGTTTAGGGTTTAGGGTTTAGGGTTTAAGGTTTAGGGTTTAGGGTTTAGGGTTTATAGACGAGTAATATGTGGCCTTAATAATTAGAATAGGGTTCGAACCAATACTGGAGTTTCAGACAATCGGGGCTTCAACATATAATGGAGAAGCTGTTACATTCGGATCCTGACTATATAAGGATGCCACAAATGTTTAATTTTGGTTGAAACTCCCAGAACTCTACTCCCGAAGTGTGTAATTGATAGGGTTTTCTGGTTGAAGGCCGATGGGTTTGGGGCTTCGTGTAGTAGCCGCGAAGCCCAGTTTCCCATCAGCGGTAACCTACGAAATGTGTCCGTCATCCGGGCTTAGGGCGCAGGTTTTTTGCGTTTTGGCCTATCTGGCTCGTCCATCACGGCTTGAAGACGCGAGCGCTTTCGCGGTTCCGCCCTCTTGCCAAGCAAATCGCATGATGACTTATCTCAGAGTGCAATGGAGCCCAGGCTTCATGGGCGATGCTTAAGGAAGGAACATGCCTGAGACTTGCTTGCCTACATGCCTTGGTCGGCTATCGCATGCGAAGCTCCTGTCTTGGTGTGCTTGTCAGCCCCCTCTCCCTCCCCCAAAAAACGCCATGCACAGAAGCGAAGTCTTGATTTCATCGGGCTGCAGCAGTCAAGTTAGCTGTCTTGGATGGGGTCGGCTTGGGACACTGCAAGCTCGCAGGGATGGGTGCAAATGCCATCTTCTGAGCTTGTTGCTTATGTCGCTTCGATTTCTTAGTCTGTCGTCTCCAACTCCTGAAATCAGGTTCATCTGGAGGATCCCACATGGAGAGGGCGTGGAATCCAAGCCGTCTTCGGAGAAACCCCTAAGTCTTGATCTGAGGGACAAGCAAGCCCCAGCCCTACACCCGATTATGCATGCGAATTTGCACCTAGATGGGGGGTGGTCAACCTTTTGGGTACCATTCTATAGCCGGCAAGCAAAACCCGTGCAATCCGACTCCTAGATCCGGGCTACTGCCACACTTAGTTCAGGGTTTAGGGCTTAGGGTCTAGGGTTTAGGGTTTAGGGTAAGCCACAATGCCTGCCTCCCAATATTCCCCAAACACGGAAACCAAAAGTGCAGAAGCGGAACACCATCCTCCTGCCAGCTGCGGGGTGTACCCGAAATCCTAATGCCCTGAGCCCTCGACCGTAGACCCTAAGCCCTATAACCCTATAAACCCCAAACCATGAACCCTATAATTAAGCCCTAAACCCTAAATCCTATAAACCCCAAAACCCCAAAACCCTAAACCCTATAAGCCCTAAACCCAAAGCCCTATAACCTCAACCCTTAACCCTATACATCTTACAAGCCCTAATTCGGGGCCCCTAAACCCTATAAGCCCTAAACCCCAAACCCTAAACCCAAAACCTAAACCCTAAACCCTAAACCCAAACCCTAAACCCTAAACCCTAAACCCTGTAACCTCACAGAAATCAGACCTGGCGCCTGGGCTTTCTGGAACCCACTCTTCGGAATGCGGCGGCGGCGCTGCGTCCGGGAGGACCTCTCTCTGGCGTGTTTGTTGGGAGGACTTAGGGTCTATAACATAGGGCTTGGCTTATAGGGTTTAGGGTCTAGGGTTGTTGGTTTTGGGGTTTTGGGCTTGGGCTCTAACTATGCCCTTTCGGGCTAATGGGTTCATGAGTTTACGGGTTGGCAGGTTCACGGATTCAGGTGTGCACGGTTGAGGGTTTAGTGTGTAGGATTTAGAGTATCCCTGCAGAGGGCCAGTGCCGTGTTCATGCACGCAAGAGCCTTGAAAGGTTCCCCTAGTAGGGCTTAATTAATGGGGACTGATACGGTGGGAACTGACGCTGGCTCAGAGAGCCTGCAACTTTTGCTCCTGTCTCAGCATCACGGATTTTTGCAGGTTTTTTTCCAGTCTGCTTCTAGTGACTGCGAACGGTAATTGTGTTCGGGAAGCCGGCGGGGAGCTGACGCGTTATAGGGTGGTGCGTATGGCTTATTTTGTTGCGAAAGATTGCCGTCATTACTGTTCAGTCTTTGGCGAAGCTATTCCGAACGATTCCAGGGTTTTCGCAAGGGCTTTACTGCTTCCACCCGGAATGCTATGGTTACCAGTTCAAGACCGATTCCACAAAGTGCACGCCAGTGCCTGCGAAATAAGCCCGCATGTATTCCTATTTGTTCTACATGTCTTCCATCCCGGATCCCAAGACTACGGTTGGGGACTTTAGACTTCAACACGTCTATCTCCGTCTGTCTCCGGTTCAGGGTTCGATATCCTTGTGCCTCCTGCAGGATACTTTCTCTTAGCGCTGACAGCGAGACGAACTCATCGTCGTGCGGGTCTGGACGCTCGGCCCTTTCAATGTCTACACCACACGGTTCAGGGTTGAGAATCCGGCCCCGGTCTCAAAACAGACCGAAGAGATTATGTAGCATGGTATTGGGCAGTAAAGACCCCGAAACTGGGGATCTGGCCGCGTCAGCTAGTAACCAGTTTTCAACTGTATACAAAGACTTCCAAGGACGGTGTGTAAGGCTAGATGAGGGCAGGGATTTATGGAGGGCTTCTCTGATTCCGTAAGTGTGTAGGTAGTTTGTCGGCTCGACTGCCCAATTTCGCCTCCCCGCAAGCGTAAGAGTGAACGCCTCTTAGTTCCTAGACCCTACAACCCACAACCCTAAACCCTAAAACCCCAAGCCCTAAATCCTAAAGACCCCCAAAGCCCGGAAGATTAGGATCTCGAAGCAGACGTGCAAGAGATCGCAGCGACATTGGGCCTGCAGCAGGACCGTAGCTACACAGTTTGTGGTGTGCGCCAAAGTGGGGGTTTTCTTTATTGATAAAGCCCTATAAGATCCTGAGAGCCTTCATGACGACATAGGGTATTATGACACTAAACTCACTCTTCAATCTGAGGTTTAGGACTAAACCCTATGAGCTCTACAATGTATCGTGAACCCTATAAACTCTATACACCTTAGACCCTAACTCATAAGCTGTAGGGCCGACCCAGGCCTGACCCATTGGAGAATGCTTCTGAGGGCAGGATTTTGATCTTTCAGGGTTGTGGGGTTTAGGTTTTAGGGGTGCAAGGGGTTGAATATAGCGGTTTAGGGATTTTGGGTTTAGGGTTTCAGGCCACACGGAAGTCCCTTAAATTTAGCGTGCAGTCGCTTTGAGCTGGGTGTCCTTCCAAGCTCGCAGCGTTTTCGTTTTTTAGCTTTAAGCAGCAAGTCCCGCTGCGCCGTACCATTACCAAACATAGATGCTGGTGCGAATTAGTATTTGTGTTCGTCTGTGCAGCATGCCCTCTGCGTCACAAACAAGCTTGTAAGCTTGGCTTCCAAGCTACCCATAGACCGCAAAGTAGTTGCTTTTTGGGGTTACTTTATAGGATTCTATATATGAACACCCAAAAGGAACTACTTTTTTAGGGCCTATAGGTAAGTTCTAAGGCCCCTGCGTTACTCCAGGAGGGCACGGTCTGGATGGAGAAGGGTGCTTTCGACGAGCAGCCCCGACCCGTCTTCGTCTGGCAGAAGCCAAAAGCGTTTTTGCGAGAGTGGATTCAGATGACTTTGTCTTTAGGGTTGGGGCTTTGGGCTTTGGGGTTTAGGGTGTAGGGTTTAGGGTCTACCCATAGGCCCCAAAGTAGTTCCTTTTTGGGGTTACCTTGTAGGATTCCATATCTGAACCCCAAAAAGGAACCTCTTTAGGGCTTATGGGTAGAGTTGAGAGGGCTCCTTCGGCGTGTGTGCTTCTGTGTCAACGGCTTCAAAGGGATTGGCCGACCCTAAACCCTAAACCCCTAAACCCTAAACCCTACACCCCATAAATCTCCAAGTTGTAGCAAAAGTATTCCTTTGCAATATAGGGGCCTATACTTGATTACCTATACTATTTTGGGTGGGTTCCTTATCATACTTATAGTATAATATACCCCAAAACCCTATTCTAATATTCAGACTCCTAAACCCTAAACCCTTATAGTAACCCTTTAAGGAGCCCTTTAAGGGAACCCCCAAACCCTATTCTAATCATTAAGGCCCCTACATTATGTGCATTTCATGGGTGCCGTGTTTAGGGAGATTCAGGGACCAGGGACAAGGCAGGCGCAACAGTCCGACTCAAATCATGAAACGGTTTTCGGGTTTTAGGGTTTAGAGTGTCAGCGTTTAGGGTTTTAGGGTTTGGAGTTTTGGGGTTTAGGGTTTTAGGGTTTAGGGTTTAGGGGACGCTGAAACAAACTACAATACTTGTGGCTCTTATGCCACATGACACTGCGCCGCCCCGGTGCCTCAATGCCCCAAAGCAGCACCCAAAGGGTCCATGTACTCATATAGTATATACTTAGACCCTGAAGTACCTAAATAGGAACTACATTAAGGCCAATGTATCTTCTATATGCGTACATGGACCCTTAGGGTCCGTGACTCTTTGAAGCCCGGCACAGAACACCTCAAGAAGCCGACCACCTCAGCCCGGCAAGAGCTGCCAAACACCGAAGCATAGGGGCCTAAAAAGATACCTATATTATTAATATTTTTTTTTGGGGGGGGTCCTTATTATATTTAATACTATTTTGGGGGTTCCTTATCATAATTATAGTATGATATACCCCGAAACCCTAATTATTAAGGCCCCAACAGTATCCCGATAAAAGCAAAGCCAAGCTCCATACTCCGGATGCTTAATCACAAGCCCCGGAGGAGCTTAAGCCCTAAACCCTACACCCCAAAACCTCAACCCTCAACCTTAAACTCCAAACCCTAAACCCTAACCCTAAACCCTCAACCTTAAACTCTAAGCCCTAAACCATAAACCCTCAACCTTAAACTCTAAACCCCAAACCCTAAACCCTAACCCTAAACCCTCAACCTTAAACTCTATATAAGCCCTAAACCTCAACCTTAAAACTCTAAACCGCAAGCCCTAAACCCTAACCCTAAACCCTCAACCTTAAACTCCGTATAAGCCCTAAACCTAAACCCTCAACCTTAAACTCTAAACCCTAAACCATAAACCCTAACCTTAAACCCTCAACCTTAAACTCTGTATAAGCCCTAAACCTCAACCTTAAAACTCTAAACCGCAAGCCCTAAACCCTAACCCTAAACCCTCAACCTTAAACTCCGTATAAGCCCTAAACCTAAACCCTCAACCTTAAACTCTAAACCCTAAACCCTAAACCCTAACCGGCCCTAACCTTAAACCCTCAACCTTAAGCTCCACATAAACCCTAAACCCCTATCAGCCGGAAATCTCCGTGAGAACCGCAGAGCTCGTTTCCAGCTCTCTTGGGGGGCGCTCGGATTCCTTCGCCATGCCCGCGTGGCCATGGTAACCTTGCGTGGAGCCACTAGGTTTCTAACCCAAAGGGTCCATGTACCCACATAGTATATACTTAGACCCAGAAGTACCTAAATAGGAACTACGTTAAGGCCAGTGTATCTTCTATATGAGTACATGGACCCTTAGGGCCTTAGGGTAAGGGTTCAGGGTTAAGGGTTCAGTGCTTTTGGAATTTTGGAGGGTTCGGGTTTGGGGGTTTCGGGAGCTGCCGTGGTTGATCTTCGGCAACTAAACCCTTGAAACCCCCATAGAGCCTTCAGAGAGCTTTATCAAAATCTCATGCAAGCCGTGCGAGTCTGCGAGGAACCCTTACAGGAACCTAAGCCTTTATAGGGTTTCAGGATTCAGGGATGATTTCGCATAAAGGTCTATAGCTGTGAGATTCCCAAACCTGTACACCCTTCTGCGGTGGTTTGGGACTTGCGGGTTTCGCGACTCGGTGAGAAGGGCAGGGTGGGGAAGGGGTGGGCTTAGAACGCGGAGGGTAGCGTGCGGTGCTTCGCAAGTCTGCCTTCAAGTAAAGCAGCATCCTACCATGAACCTTAAGCCTAAGCCGTACAAGCCCAAACTGCACCCTCAGCCCTATGAGCCTTAAGCCCCGAACCTACCGATACAGGAACCTATTGTAGCAATATTATAACTTCCCCAAGACTTATTCGATTTATGAAGGTCTTTGTATGACTCCTTCTACAACCTTGCTAAACCCTCGCAGAACCCTATGAGTCCGATTCTAAGCATACAGGCCCCTGTACAACGCGTCATGAAGCTCTTCGCGAACCTGAGAGCCCTAGACCCTAAACCACTAAACCCTATACCACTATACCCCCCCCTTAAACCCCTAAAACCCAAACCCCTAA